CGGGGAGGGGGGTGGGAGGCTGCTCCCCGACGTGGGCTCAGAGGTGTCACTAGGACATTCACGGAGGGCTCTGTGCCACGGCCCGCCTCGGAGGCACCCCTGCGTGCAGTCCTCCCGGTAGCCCGCCCAGGGAGTCCTCCTCTGTTCCCCACTCTGGCAGGGAGGGCAGGAGGTGACTGTCCTGTCCGATGTCGCACAGAGAGGGAGCTGAGGAGCTGGACTTGGGCAGTGGGTCCTGAGTGGGCAGCCTCCGCCGCTGCTGCAGATGAAACCATCGGGGTGAGATGTGCAACGGCCATTTTGCAAGTGAAAAATGGTCAGATCTCGGTGATTCCACGTGGTTCAGCTTAAGGACTCTGTGATAGGGATGTGACAGGGAATCACGGGACACAGCACCTTGGAAGGGCCCTCAGAGCCCCTCAGAGGGCGGGCGGGTGTGTGTGTGTGTGTGTGTGTGTGTCTGTGTGTCTGTGTGTGTGTGCGCGCTGGTGGAGGGGGAGGCAGTGGGAGCCTGCGGTGTTCAGGTCTTACCCCCTTCATCATTCTTGGTATACCTTTGGATTCTCAGTCATATTTTGCTCAAATAACTATTTCTGTGGGTAAGGAAAGTTTAGAAACAATTGGCCTGGGCAGTTCCTGAAACCTGCAGGTGAGCTGATCAAGACCCTGAGAGCTGAAGTGCCCTGTCCACGGCCACCCAGCTTGGGGCTGCTGGCACAGCCCGGGTTTCTGCCTCTCCTCCCAGAGCTTCCTCTGTCCCCATACCCCGTGCCCAAGCCATTCTCCATAGGCCCAGAGCCCCCTTCTCGCAAAACAGCAGAACCAGACAACACCCAGGATCTAGCCAGGACCTTTAACTTGTAGACGAGCCCGCTTTTCTGAGCCTGCTTGGCAGGGGGTGACAAGGCTGGGATCGACTCTGAGATGGGGGGTGCCGGCAGGCGGGCAGTCCTTGGCCCTCGCGGGGGCAGGTGGTTCCGGATGGTCCTGCTGGAATTCGGTCATGCCCATCCCTCAGGTACCTCTCACTCCTCCCTGACCTGGACTATTTCAGCTCATCCCTGAGCCTGATTCTAAAGGGTGAGCACTCAGCCTTGCTGGCCAGACAACCAGCATCACGTTAGAATATCGGTCCAGGAACATCCCAGGGCTCAAGAGT